GCTCAGTTCGAACTGAAACAACAACAGCAACATTGCATTAGTATTGGTCAGTATGTAGTATGTAGCATTATTTGGAATTGGAAGATTTGTGGTGTGTATGGATAACTTCATTGAGTTTATTAGTTTATTAACTGTGATCTGAAAGTTTTGGTAAATTATTTTTATGGTCACTCGAACATTTGATAAGTAATTAAACACGTCATTGAATTCTTTCTGAATCTGTTTGAGGCAATTTTCAATTTCCCATAGCTCATCATTGCTATTTTCTGGATTTTTCATTAGTTACTTATAGGTTTTAAATTTTTTTTCAGAAAGTTTAGTATTTGAGATGATTCAATGTCTTTATTATATTATACGTATGTACTTAGTTTATTTACTGATGAGTGACTCAGTAATTTTGAAGGTAAAGCGGAGTGTGTGGAGAAACGAACAATTCTAGAGGAACAGCATTTACAAAGGACGAATGGTTAGATTGAATTTTTTTGTTTAGTGCATAAATTTTTAATAAGTTGAGGAAATCTTAATGTGGCTTTTTGTGTATTTCAGTTATAATGTGTTCTTTTTGGTGAATGTATGGAAGTTTCAATCGTTTGCCTCAGTGAAATTTAGCGTTTTCAGATCGCGTGAATGAATTCAAGCGAGTGGTGAACATTCTGAATGAGGATTTAGACTTTGGGAGTGCTCAAGAAGCGATGTATGATGCCATCGCATGTGATATCAGCATGACGGGAAAGCCATGTAAGTGGAAGGAATTCTTTGCTTTGGGAATATTTCAAAAAAGATTATTGCTCGTTTTTTTCTGCCGGGTGACATGTCGAGTTGTTACCGTAGAGCAATCACCGAACTGTAGTACTTGTTGTTGTTTTGTCGGAAATCTTTTGAGTGTTGGGATGGGTTCTTTGCTTCCTCTGTGATAAGAAGCTGAAGTTTATATTTGTTAATTTTAAGTATCTCGCTGGTGTGAATTTGTTCTGGAGCATATGAGTGCTGAAATGCATGAGGAAATAAACGTGGCGTTAAGACATATGAAAAAATTCTTCATTTTGAACAGTGACGAGAACTTTAAGGCGTGTAAATGTGAGTTATTTCCTTTTTTCTTTTGACGTGTAATATAAGATTGTTTCTTCTTCTTTTTTCAAAAAAATTGTGAATTTAATTTGTTCAATATAAACTTAATTTGTTCAATTCGAATGATTTGTTGTTGTTGTACACTGTCGAGTGTCATCTTTAAGAAACAATTTCAGATTTATTATTTGTGGTGGTTGATGATCATCTGAATAATAACGACGTAAAAACATGGCAAGAAATGCGATTTGCATATTGTAATTTGATAAGTGAGGCGTTGAAGCATAAGCAAATTGATAAGTTGGTGAGTAGAAAATTTGCAAATTGTCAATTTTTTTCGATTCATTCTATTTGCCTATTTGTTTGATATTTGAAGAATTTGATATTCATCATCGATATTTGGATTATTTTCATTCAATGTGTTATGAAGTGGTGACATCTGAGTCTTTTATTTCTGTTCCATTTTTGAAGAGAGTTTTAAAACTTTTCAGCTTCTCCCATACCTGTTCACCGCAGATCAGAGGTTAACACAAAGTGAAATAGCGCATACGGCTCTGACATCTGTGTTTTTCATATTTCTACAGAGTGGTTTCTCTGAGGTTTGTTATATTTCATTGAAACTGTGTATTTGGTTGATTCTAACTGGGCAACTTATTTATTTGATGAATGTAGAGGAAGTGAGCGATTATAAGTAATGTTTTTGTTTGTTTGTTAAACATGATTCAGAACCCGGTGGAGATCCATCGAAACTGAGATGTTTTCTGAGATCTGATCAGGTTGAGAAGAAATTGAGGCGAGGATTAGTTTTGGGTTGTTTATTTTCGATGAATAATTTCTAAAGTTTCAGATTAAACAAATACATATCGGAGGTGTGTGTAGCAATGAGTCATATCATATGTACTATGCGAATGAGTTGGAAACGATCGTAAGGAATATGCTGCATGCTGATGATGAGAATTGTAATCCGGTGGTAGTGAACACTTAGTGAGTGGTGCGGATATGGAATTTATGCGTGGAACGGAGAGAGAGCAACTGCCTTATTGCATTATTGCTTTTCAAGAAGTTTTTCAAGTTCATGTTTTAACAGTTTCCATTTTTTTAAAGTTTCATTTTCTTTCGAGATTTTGCAAATCCCTCATATTTGATGTTTTTGTGGATTTGCATCGTCGTTTGCATTTTTGAATTCATTTCGTGGATTTGTAAAATTTCGTCTGGATTTTTTCATACATCTGCGCGATTTGGAATTTTTCGATGTCTTTTTCCGGATTCGTGCTCATTTTGTGGGAGATCTCAGCAGTATTTATTAATGGTTGGTTTCAGTTGAGTGGTCTCATTGCATCTTATAGCGCAAGTAATTTTTATGCATCGTTTTTGAGTGAATGTCTTCAAAACGTCATTGTAAAAACATAAGCTTATTGACAGTTGCAGTCATGTATAATTGTACTGTACTGTTGTAATATGTCGCATTGTTGTTTGCTTGCTACTTGGAATATACCCTTATGTTCCTTAGAATGTACTCTTAAAATATTTGCAAT